TATTTTATATAAAATATATGGTGACAAATAAATGTTTGGATACTTTTTCAAAAGAACAAGCATTCAACAATGTCTTTTAAATAAATAACTTTTGGATGTAAAAACTCAAGATTTCTTAACATTTCTTAATGATACCATCATGGTCTGTCCTATGCAGAATGATAAAATGCAAAATTATTTCTTTATTAAAACCTCTGTAACTTTGCTCCAGTTATTTTTAGCACCTTGAATCTTTGCACAGGTGATGTCCACAAGTGGATTTATGGTTTCCAAGAGGTTTTAGCCTGAATCATTATGGTTTACTGTCTAATGAAAATAATATTCAGGTCAGATTGAAAATAAAATTCAAATATTATGTTCCATCTCTAAAACCACAGCAGCTGTTTTAATACGTCACTTCTGATTAAATCTCTTAAGCGTTAGCTTTATTTTGATACCAAGATTATTTAAGTAGAGTTTGTAAATGCTGAGATACACTCAATTACATTTTGGCATGGTATTCTGAGCAAAAACTTCAAGAAAACCCCTTGGGGCAAACAAGATGAAATAAAAAAGAAAAGATATAATACAATAAAAATTAAAAATAATGGTAAGCATTTGTCTATTAACAACAATCAGATTTTTGAAAAACCCTTTGTAAAAAATGTCAGAAAACTATCTTTATCATTATGTAGTTCAGACATGCAGGCAAAACCAGATATCTGCATAAAAACATTTAAAACCATTATTTCTGTAGTGATTCACATTAAAACTAAACAATTTATTAATCTTGTACAGTTAGAATTCGCAGTCATTTTTATTAGTTGAATACAGAGAGTTTTTTAAAGTTATTCATTACTTTATTCAAAGTCACAGCTTTTATACATAGTAAGATTTGCCTTCAAGTTCAAAGTGGGTTTAAAAACAAAACAATTGGACTTTATTCTGTAGATCAGGGGTGTCCAAACATTTTCCCTGAGAGGGCCAAAATGAGAGCCTATTTGGCTGCGGCCAAATGCAATAATATAATACATAAAACACTAATACTTTTTATGTAAAGTCCTTTTACTTTTTACTATTAAGCTGGCAGCCAGTGCAGTGGTTCAAACTTTTCTGTTAATTTTTCTTTTCTTTTTTTAGCCTGTACACTTTGAGAAAGTTTGACGAACGCTCAGGCAGCAAAGGCTCATGGGACATTTCATAAATTGATCAAATCTGAGTATTTGTGGTCTTATGAAGTGTGAAAATCTATGTGTGCTTCTAATCTATCTGCCTTGTAGTTACTTATGTTTCATGTTTAATCGTAATATAACTCAAAGGTAAAATTTGCACCATGATTAAAACATATCTGCACTACAGAGCTTTATATAGTCATTGGGCCTCATGCAAGAACCGTTCGTACGCACAGATTTGTTCTTAAATTGTGCGTACGAGTGATTTAGGAGAATTTGTGGCATTCACCAATGTTTTCGTATTCTAAGATTTTTTTCAGATACAAACAAAATTTACGAGTGGTCCAGACCTGTCGTAGATTTTACGAGCAGTCAGTCTGCTGTTATCCAGACGGGTTTTCTTCACTAATAACTTTATATTTCGTTAGTTTGAAGATATTTTGAGTTGAAAATAAATCACACTCTATAATTATGTTGACAATAAGTTATTCTGCTTGAATTAGAGTTATAATTTTAAATGTAATAATTTAGACTAACAATATAAACTGTCCGTCTGGCATTTTCTGAAAATCATCTGAAAATGATTTAACACAGTTGTTTATACATTTAGCAGCTCTTTTTATTCCACAGCTGACCTGCTAAAAATGACAGATTTTTTTTTCTTGATCTCTGACAGACGGACTTCAATCTCTGAACTCGTAAAGTTCTTCTTTTAAGTTTTCGCTGCCATTTTCATGAACGGACACTTCCTTGTATCTGAGGCAGGAAACATACTCTTATGTGGTGTTTTTGGGGTGGTAATTATGCTAATCTCCTCTCGCCTGCAAGAGCAGCTGGATACGAACAGGTGGAATTTACACAGCTCATTTACGCACTTTTCCTGAAGATAAAAGAGTTTGTTGAATCTGACGTGACATGTTCGTACGAACYCTTTGTACGAACAAAAGTAAGAGAAATTTAGGAGAAGAATACCAACATGTTCTTGCATGAGGCCCATTGTGTCGATGGATGGAATGACTATATGGAAATACAGTAACCGGGGTTCTTGTTGGAGGTCCAAATCAAATTGCTTGGTGGGCCAATTTTAGCCCCACTTTGGGCTCCTCTGCTCTAGATGAACACATTTTGTTTCCCGTCAGTGTAGCTTGAACAATTCCAAATTGAAGAATGGAGAATTCCAAGTATTAAACTGGATGAGATCTTGTAGGAAACCTTCTTCCATAAACAACTGGCTCCAGGAGAAAGCCTTCAAACTTAATGCTGCTGGAGTATCTGAGGATCTCAGAAGAGTTTTATACAAACAAAATATTCTCAAACCTATAAGGACCCTAGAAACAGATCCATTTTTGTCTTCTTTCACCCAGTGTGTCTCCCGCTGCTGCAGTTTTCCCACAAATGCCTCAGAGTGCAGAGCACACACCCAAACTCTTATTGACTTGCTCTGAATTTCCTGTTAAAACTAGCAGTGAAGGCTTTTTTTTACACTTACCACATCTTCAACATGAAACACTGTTCAAAGCACAAAACTTAATATGTGACCATCAAACCTTCATGACAACCAGAGAGTGACTCAACAAACTGGGTCACTGCTTATTATCCAGCAGGCTTTTGTCAGGTGCCACTATAGGACTTTGTCATCTCTAGATCTTTTCTGTGAAAAAAATAAGTAAAAATGTTGGCAAAATTCAATATTTAAAGACAATAAATACATAAAGAAACAGTTTCAAAATAAAACTCATTGAAACTTAAAAAATAAATAAACGGTTGCTGTTGATGTATGTTTGGTCTCCGTTCGGAATTTCTTCAGAAACTTTTTAGTTCGAACACAAAGTTCTGAAAATGTTTTCTTATTGTTAGCATATTTAAAAAAAAAAAAAAGTCCTGTGGACAAGGCAGTGATCAAGGCGGAATGAATTTTAAAGATGTAAATGACTGTCCTGGGTGTAAACGGAAGATTGGTGATTACAGGCAGAAGAATGCACTTTTACTGACCTTTTATTGAGTGGTGAGGAAGACTAATTAGTGGTGTGGAAATGCTGCCGGTGAATTTAAGACATCCGAAAATTAGTAGGAATGTCTTTAATGTTGTGCATTCATGTGTCAAACCGCCAACCCTTAATCTAACCTAAACTTCATCATAAATCTCATCCCAACCCTCAAATCCTTTCTTCACTCTGTGAGGTTCCAACCAAATGTCTTTCCTTAGTTTTTCTGGTCTCAGCTTTTCTTTGAAAACAGTCAGTGAAATATGTTTCACAAGGTCCCGCAGAGCAAATCGTTTCTGTTGTGTGCAGGAAGATTTCTTGACTTTTTTTTGTTTGCTTGTTTGTTTGCTGCTGCTCCCAGTTGACGAGGAAACGGTGCGACCTGAAGAAGAAGCTGAGAGTGACGTTTGTTGGGGAGGCGGGGCTTGACATGGGCGGCCTGACGAAGGAGTGGTTCCTGCTGCTCGTTCGGCAGATCTTTCACACAGATTACGGTGAGAATGAACTGCGATGTGTGTGAGCTTTCAGCGGTCCACAGAAGGATATGTTTACTGTTCTTTTATCACCTGTTATCAGAAAAACAGAAATCTGTTGCTTTTTTTTCTGTGGATTTTAAGGAAGAAATTGAGAATAAATGGTTGTGAGAATCTGGGAAGTAAATCCTCTTTGATGCAAAGTCAATGGAAAGTGAAGCCATTCTTTATTGAAAGTGAGCGGAAAGAACATAATATTTTTATTGGCTAAAAATGGAAAGTACATTTTTATTAGCTGAGGGCCTCAGTGGATGTGCTCGGAGAGCTTCCAGGTCAGTGAGACTGCAGCAGGAGTAAGTGTTAGATGGTTGAGAAAAGTGGACAGTGTTCCATCCATCCATCCATCCATCATCCATCCATCCATCCATCCATCCATCCATCCATCCATCCATCAATTTTTCATATTTTTACCCAGTTTATTCCTTTCTGGATCACAGGGACAACTGGTGCCCATGTTCAGCAGTCTGAGTATTTATTAAGACTGTTTTATTTTTCTTCTTTCCTTTCTTCTGCACTCACTGCACGCTCAATTTAATTATCTCTAAATTGTTGTTTCTATCACATTTGCATCCTGGTCTTTTTGTCTTTGATTTTCCTCTCTTGGGCATTTAAAAAAAGATCATAGTCTGAAAACTTTTATTTGTTTGACAGAATATTCAGTGCCTTCAGAAAGTATAAAGACCCCCCTTTGAATTTTACGCAGGCTTGCTTTATTACTTCCCGACTCTATAACAGGGATGGGCAAATTAAATGACGAAACGGTTACGTTTTTTTTGTTGACATTATTGGAGGGCTGTGGAGGACTGAATCTGACATAATTGGAAATAAAAGCAGAAATGTGGACCAAAAAAATAAATAAATACATTTAAAATGCACCAATTAAATTAAACAAGTGCTTTTCCTCATGTTTTATAATTTAACTGACCATATTTTTTTCCAGCTCAGTTCCAGTATCAAATATGGAGGAACGAAACTGTCATAATCAGAAATAAAAGCAGAAATATGGATCAACAAAAAAAAAAAAACAATTAAAATGCACCAATTAAATTAAACAAGAACTTTTCCTCATGTTTTATAATTTAACTGACCATATTTTTTTCCAGCTCAGTTCCAGTAAAATATATTTAAGAACATAATTCACATTTTACTGTTAAAAATTTATATACATTACACACACACACAC